GGAAACAAAAAATAAAGATGAGCGGTCATAGGAGAATTAAATTATTATCAATAAATGTAAATGGGTTAAATGCACCACAAAAGAGAAAAAGAGTCTTCCACCAAATTAAGAAACATCATGGAGACATAGTCTGTTTGCAATAAGGAAGATCATAAGAATTTATTACATTGTAGAAGATTGGGGAATGTTTTGTTGCTGCAGATAAGCAAAAAAATAAAAAGAGAGAGGTGGCAATATATGTGTGAAGAGTTATCTTCACCCTGAATTAGTATTTGAATCCAAAGATGGTAGAATCTTGATTGTAAGAATCCGAAAAAGAGGGGTGGCAATATATTTGAAGACTTATCTTCACCCTGAATTAGTATTTGAATCCAAAGGTGGTAGAATCTTGATGGTAAGAATCCAGAGGCAAGCTAAACCAACTTTAACAGTGAATATATATGCGCCTAACCAGTGCCATGACAAATTTTATGACTCACTATGAGAGGCAATAGCAGCACAAACATTTGAAGATATCTGTATTATAGGAGACTACAATGCAGTTCTTGACAGATAATTAGATAGGAAAAACCAATTAGGGAAACAGAATCGAAGGAATGAACTTCCAAAAGCTTTTCTACAATTAACAGAAGTAAAAATTGTAGACGCTTGGAGAATAAGGAATATAGACAGGAAAGACTTTACTTACTTTTCCGCAAGGCATAAATCGTGGTTGAGGCTAGATATGGCCTGGGTATCAACAAATCTTATAAATGATCTTTTAGAAGTGGAAATACTACCATCAACCTTTGCGGATCATAATCCTGTTGTTTTAATAGTTCAAGATATTCCTAAAAGCCTCAGATAGACAATGAAGACCTGGCTACTTAATAATAAATATTTTGTAAAGGAAACCAAAGAAGAATTTATCGTTTTCTTTAAGCATAATATTCAACATGACACTCGCATAGATATAGTATGGGACGCCTTTAAGGCGTTCGCAAGAGGTAGACTAATTAGACAGGAAGCCTGGTTAAGAAAACAAAAGCGACTGAAATATGAGCAAATCGAAATGCAGATCAAAAAGGAAGAAGAGAAACTGAAGGAAGAACCATCTTTGGAATAGCTAAGATTCAAATTAAAAAAGCTACAACATCAAATGAACTGCCTTTTGACACAAGAATTAGCAAGGAAATTAGACTACATGAAACAATACTACTTTGAAAACGCAAGTAAACCAACCAAGTGGTTGGTATATAAATTAAGGAAAGAAAGAGATAAAAACCAGATTAGGTCATTAAGAAATGAACAGGGAGAGGAGAAATATAATTCTAAGGATCTAAAAACATTATTGAGAGTTTCTATAAGAAATTATATCAACAAAAGGAGAAAGACCAACAAGATATAAAACACTTTCTTGAAAAATATAATAAAAATAAGTTTACAGAAGATCAAAGGAAAGTCTTGAATGAACCAATTACGATATTAGAAATAATGGAAACAATCAGAAAATTATAGAAGAAGAAAACACCAGGACCGGATGGTATACCAAGTGAATTTTATGAGATCTTCGAAAATCAGATAATACTGCCATTAAAACTAACAATGCAGAACATCCACCCAAAGAAGAAAATACCAAAATAATGGAATGAGGCCCTAATTACATTAATTCATAAACAAGGAACAGACGAGAAAGATGTCAACAATTACAGACCAATCTCTTTATTAAATGCTTTAGCACGGGCCTGGAAAGACGGGGGGGAGTCAGGGAGAGCTTTCCAGGGCCTGGAAAGGTGGTGTGTGTGGGGGAATTCACAACTTACTTCTTCTCTCTCCTCCCGGTCGATTGAGGGGAGGGCTGCTGGGAGCAGGGGGTGGGGCTTCCTACATGTCCCCGCCCCTTGGCCTGCTCTCTGCTGGAGCGTTGCTCCGGTGAGCTTTGGGCCAAAATGAGGCCTGCAAGCAATAATAGAGTTAAAAGTACTACTAAAGTGAGAACTATTTTTACTGAACATAATTCCAGATGTATATAAAAAGCAGGATAAGTATTTGATTATACATGTAATAACGACTGCCAGGATTCTGTTCGCTAAATTTTGGAAATCAGAAAAAACTCCATCAAGGGAAGAATTTGTACAGAAATTGCTATAGCCGAAATGGATAAGTTAACAATATTGCTAACAATATTGCTGCAGGGAAAGAGGGAAGAAGCATTTGATAAAACTTGGGCAAATGTATATGAGTGGATTGGTAATATAACAAAAAAGTGGAACGGTGTATGAATTGAGATGTATGGTTGGTTAAATAGTTAGAAAATTCTATTGTAAGTTAGAAATGCTTTCAGCATATAGCATGAATTACGGATATTTGGAAAACTGAAAATAATAATTTTTTAAAAGATTGATTGTGCAAACCGATTTTAGCTGGGTTTTTAGTGTGCAACCTATTTGTCAGCAGTATGGAATACTTTTTTCTTGACAAAGGTTCTGCAACTTTAATAGCTGTTTGAGAGGCAGAAATTGAACTCGTGTCTTTTCTCTGTCGTTGGATCATGTAGCAACTGTTGAATTTCAGTGTATTGTGTAGCTGCTAAAGACACATGGGGTCTTTGCAATGTAAAAAACCCCAAATCTATTATGTGAAAGTGCAAATTCATTATCTGTTGTTTCATTCTGTTCTGCTACACCTCTCAGGAAGTTTTCCAGCTGAAGCTGGGTAACCATCTGTTCAGAATTCTCTACTTTGGATTTCCTGCACTGAGCAGGGGGTTGGTTTGGTGGCCATTAAGGTCCCTTCCTACTCTATGATTCCATAATGCTATTCATAGAGATTTACTAGAATGGTTGCACAGGGAGCATTATATTCTGCTACCTCCTAACAAAATGTCATTTTACAGAAGAGTTAAGCAACCAAATGCCCATTTTCACACTCAGAAGAATCTGCTGCCCTATTTTATGCAGTATGTTTTACAATTAAAGGTTTATGGGTCAGGACCTACCTGCCAAAATTAACAGCCCCTTAGATTGTAAAAAGAGTGAAGTTTTTCTTCAAAGGAACCAACAAATTAGGTTTAATGACTCATATTTTAGATGCGATTCCATTGAATAGTACAAGCAGGTTGTAAGAGGTAAGTCTGTTGTTCTGGTGTTAGGCTGGTAAGGACAAGAGTGAAATAAAGCCCATTGGGAAAGAACAGCAGAGCAGAAAAGAAGGCACCTCTACTGCAGTCCTATCAACATTGAACATTTAATCAACAAAAACTAAATATTGAACTCTAAACTACATTAAAGGTAAAGGTTTCCCTTGCTCGAAAGCCAGTTGAGTCTGACTGCTAGGTTAGCAGGAGCTCACTCCGTCACCTGGCACTAGGGTCTCGAACTGCCGAGCGAAGCTCAGTATCTTAACCTCTGAGCCGCCGTGGCATTAGTTAATCTTAATTGAGTTTGTGTTCTCAGAATTTAAGTTAAAGAATCTATGCAAATAAATCTTTATCTGGCCAACAGACTTGTACTGCAGCTCTCTGGCTGCTAGAATGCACCTAGGCTCTACAAGGGCCTTGGATAAATGTTCCCTTAATGAGTGCAATCTAAAGTGGGATTTAGCCTCAGCCAGAGTACTCCACTTTATTAATCTTGATCAGATAATCCCAAATGCATTCATCACGCAAAGTGTTGATTAGGCTGTTGAAAGAATGTGTCAGCCCTCCCTCAATTAATCAATTAATAATTATGGGTGCACAACAGACAAAAGAAAATAAAGTTCAGAGGTTTTTGTCGCTGAAAGGCCTTCTTAGAACAATGGGGGAAAGGGCTGGTCTAGAAGGACATTAATGCTATATCACTAACCTTTGTCATGTCATGCTTTTCCTGTGACCCATGAAACAGATCTCCTTCTGAAATTAAATGCCCGTCTCTTTGTTTAGTGATTCCTGTTGTTCTGGGCAGCTATGTAAGTGTACAGATGCATGTGTTCATGTACAAGCTCAGGGCAAATGACAGTGACAATTAGGGTTGACAACTCTGGTTTGGAAATTCCTGGAGGTCTGGGGGTACATCCTATTTGGGTTTTGGGATGGAAGGGACTGGCAGTTTACTGCCATAGAGTCCACCCTCCAAACTAGTCATTTTCTCCAGGGGAACTGATCTCTGTAGTCTAGAGATCAGTTGTAATTCTGGGAGATCTCCAGGCCCACATGGAGGTCGGCGACCCTAGGTGACATGGGGACAGGCCACCTGGCAGTCTAAGTAGACCGACATTGTTCTAACGCTAGCAAAAGTGAAAGGATTAACTAATGCTATAAAAACCTTGTACCGATATTCTTGCATATATGCTCATATGTCTTCATTATCTTAATTCTCGATCATGGATCCAGAATGTTTACACATGCACAAACCTACATGCCTTCTAGAGCACCCACAAAGTGTACACCGATTCACTGTATAACAAGAAGAATGGTATTGGTATCCATTCTGCATGGGTCTAGATACCCATGTTTGCATGGGTCTAGATAGTTTCTTGATGCCATAAGTAAATTACTGTGATCTCTCAGCTGTTACTCTCTTGCTAGCATTTGTTAGGTACCCTTGAAAAACTATTTCCCATTCTTTGTGCAATGACCTTGGCTGACCTAACTGTGAGGAGGCTGCAGCAGTAAAGATATTTGACTCTAGCTGTTCTCTCCCTTGAGAGGGATTCCTTGCATATGCTTCATAGAATCCACATCTACCTGCTGGTGCTTAAGCAAAAGTCTTCAAAATGAATGGGCTGTTAGGGGCCTAGAAGAGGCCATTCCTGGATCTGGTTAGGAAATTAAGACCAAAAACATGTGCAGTGTTCAGGGAAGTATGCAATAAGCATACTTTTCTATAGTTGTGAGTATCTTAACATTACTTGGTTGCTTTCCCATGAGGATATTAAACTCAGTGCCACAAGAGTGTGGCAAATCAGGAAGTAGGCTTGCCAAGTCCCCCCGGGAGGCCAGGAAACCCCCGCCCCAGAGCCCCGTTCCCCGCCGGCGGCAGATCGGGCCCCGGGGGGAACCCCACCCCGACGTGCGTGTCACCTGGAAGTGACGCGACCACGGCGGGCATGCTGGGGGCAGGGCCACGGTCATCCGAGGGAAAACTTTATGGTTTTTGGTGCGCTGCAGACGCCGGACGGGAGTTCCCTGCTCCAGAGGAATTTTCACTTGGCAACCCTATCAGGAAGTAATCTGGGGAAAGGACTTTTTCTTCCTATTAGACATAAATTGTCTTGGTTGACAAGGCATGAACTAAAAGTACCCCTGTCACGATCAGGGGCCTATAGTGGTGCAGCCTACAGGCTCTAGGGAGGCCTAGTGGCTCCAGAAAAGCCTGTATGGGAGTAGTCATCAGAGCCTATATTTCCCATGTTCCCTCTGGACCCTGTGATTGGGTAGCAGGAGATTTTGGAGGGAAAACTATATCAGTAGGTGTCCCAACCCCGAGCGGCCGGGACTCCTCCCAACCCCCCAGCCAGCCCCAGAGGCCCACCACTCACCGCCTCGGAGCCAGGGGGAAGACCAGCAAAGGAGGCCCGATGGCCAAGCAGTGGGAGCATTGGGCGCTGCCATCCCAATGACAACGAAGAACCTACTGTGCCAGGCAAGGCCTCTGGTCCACAGGCCCCGCTGGGACACAGATGGAGGGGCTGGAACTGACAAAGGAGAATTCGGCTGGCCCAAGGGTAGAGCAGATGACAGTAACAGTGGGGTTCGCGCCGCCACAACAGGAGCCGCAGTGGTCAGACCCACTCCAGCGAAGGACTGCGTGGCCATACACCACAACCCAGCCCCGCCCGAAGCTCTGAGAGAGCGTCGGAGCTTATCAAGGGACGGGGCCTAGCCAGGAAGAGGAGGTGGAGTAACAGGGGAGGGGCCTGGGAGCGGGGCCTGGGGATAAAAGAAGGATATGAGCCAGAGGGTCGGGGAGGAGAGGCTGGCTGAGATGACTCCGGAGGGCAAGAAGGAGCGAGCGAGACAGAGAAGGAGCGTCAGAAGGCAAACCGGGGCTGAAGGACTAGAAGGGTGACTCTAACCCTGTCCCCTGCCCAATCTGGGACCCTGGCCATCCCTCTTCTTGGGGCCCCAGTGACCAGAGTGACCGTAGTCTAAGGGAAAGGATGGCCACCAGTGGGAAGTCACCCGGGGCGGAGGCGGGACTTGACAGCAGGGGAACAGAGGATGGCGCCTGGGAAGAGGAGATAAAAGGCCTTACCCAGAGTGGGAGGGTGGTCTCTCTCTCAGGGAGCAGGGCTGGTAAAGCTGCTGCAGACAGAGGGATCCCTCATCCAAAAAGGGGTGAGTTAGACTGTGAACAGGTATCTAGGGAAGGCTAGGACTGTATAGACAGATGCGTTAGGATTTATTATTTTACTGATTTACCTGACTTTGCTCATTTTTCCTACTTATTATAGATCTAAAGTTGTTGTTAAATCTCTTAATAAAACTATTTGTTACTCTGCCTGGGTCCTCATGCCTCATTTGGTCATGTACAAGGAGAAACCTGTTGTAAAAGTACTGTAAAAAGGGGTAGGGTGGGTGCTCTGGGCCCTCACAAGGAGACCCATACCAGAGTGGTGGCCATTAGTGAACTTTCCTAGCCGCTGCCTGCAACAACCCCTTAAGCTGGAGTTACAGTGCAAATGTAAACCAGTTTATTTTACCCCAAAGAACGCTGACACGTACAGCTCTGTGACACTGCTGGTGCTTTTCTGTTGGTGATCTCTGTTAGGACCCTTCTGAACTATTGAATGGGGGTGGTAGGAGGTGGTGGTTAGACCAGATCTGAAACTGTGTTCCAGCCAGAAAGCCCTATGTTTAGTCCTTACAATTTTCAGTTAAAGGATGTCAGGGAGCAGCAGGTCTGTAGCCAGGATTTTTAAAGTCAAGGGGCATTTAAATTTCTTAGGGGGCACGGGCTAATCAAATTAAATGAATATCCAGCTCCTTCCCCACATCTGCCACCGCTTGGGGGCCCTGAGGTAGCTGGGAAGTTGTGGGGCCCTGCCAGTAAGTCAGGGGGCCGAGCCCAAGATGCCCCACTGTAGCCACAGGCCTGGGGGGCAGGTAATTGGAGAGATTTTTCTCTGCCTGAGATCTTGGAGAGCCACTGCCAGGATGAGCTAGATGGACCCTTGGTTCTTCTGTATCTTCACCTCTCTTTCTGTTCTGTGCTAGGATTACTGTGAGAGTACAAAGCTAGTCCTACAATTCTAGGGCTGGAAACTGGTAATAAGTACTGCTGCTTCGGTGCTGGGGAAGTACTAGGGTTGCCAGTCTCCAGGTGGTGGCTGAAGAGTTCCTGGAATTACAGCAGGTCTCCAGGTTATAGAGATCAGTTACCCTGGAGAAGATGGCTGCTTTAGAAGGTGAACTCTGTGGCATTTTACCCCACTGAGGTCCCTCCTTTTCCCAAACTCCACCCTCCCCAGGCTCTACCCCAATCTCTAGGAATATTCCAAGCTAGATCTGGCAGCCCTAGGAATTACTTATGTGGCATAGGAACTGTGCACTACGGGCATGGGAAGAAGAGGGTAGAGCCACCTTCAAGTCTTGGTGTCCTAACCTCAGACCCACAGACTGAACCCCGAGTTTCTGCCACCTGAGTAGCTATGTGCTGCAGACTTGGTAACAATTCTTTGTTTTGAGAGTCAAGCACCAGATACAGTGCTGGCCTGTGCTCTAGGACAGGCTAGGACACAAGAGCTTGTCAACACTACCACATGACAGCTGAAATAATAATGTTGCTCTGGACCAAGTCTGAGGGTCTTCATATCCTGCTGCCTGAGAACTTTTAAAAGCATAATTAGGATTGCTGGACTGCAATATGCCTGCATACTTGTAAGCAAATATCTTCTTTTTTAAAAAATGTATCATTCCTTCTTATGAAAAAACCACCGTGTAAGCAGTGATATACTGAGCAAAAATAAAATATTTTGGAATTTTGTTTCCCTAAAAATGAAATGAATTACAGACATAAGAGAAGCCAATGTTGGATCAGACCAATGGCCCATCTAGTCCAACACTCTGTCACACAGTGGCCAAAAATACCAGGTGCCATCAGGAAGTCCAGCAGTGGGGCCAGGACACTAGAAGCCCTCCCACTGTTGCCCCCCCCCAAGCACCAAGAATACAGAGCATCACCTGCCCCAGCCTGTGAGTTCCTATCTATACCTTGTGGCTAATAGCCACTGATGGACCTCTGCTCCATATGTTTATCCAGTTCCTTCTTGAAGGTGTCCATGCTTGTAGCCGCCGCTACCGCTTGTGGCAGTGAATTCCATGTATGAATCACTTTTTGGGTGAAGAAGTACTTCCTTTTATCTGTTCTAACCCGACCGCTCAGCAATTGGAGTGCCCACGAGTTCTTGTATTGTGAGAAAGGGAGAAAAGTACTTCTTTCTCTACCTGCTCTATCCCATGCATAATCTTATAAACCTTGAACATGTCACCCCTCAGCCGTCATTTCTCCAAGCTAAAGAGCCCCAAGCGTTTTAACCTTTCTTCATAGAGAAAGTGTTCCAACCCTTTTATCATTCTAGTTGTTCTTTTCTGCACTTTTTCCAATGCTATAATATCCTTTTTGAGGTGTGGTGACCAGAACTGTACACAGTACTCCAAATGAGGACATACCATTGATTTATACAGGGGCATTATGATACTGGCTGATTTGTTTTCAATTCCCTTCCTAATAATCCCTAGCATAGCGTGGCCTTTTTTATTGCAGTCACACACTGTCTTGACATTTT